GATGGATCTGAGAAAAAGCAGCTTGTGTACAAATTGCCTCGTTTCCATACAACCGCAGAAGCCGCATTGATCAGCTCGGAAGCGTGATCTGCATTTTGACTGAAGCATTACCATTTGTAGAATCAGTTCACCCGTTTAGATAGTACTTTCTGAAGGTTTTCCACCTAATTCTGGTTAGATCAAAAGAGAGTGCACAATAGTCTGATTGAACTTCTCCTTCTGTAGTCCATTAAACCCATCTCACATAGACAATTACGTAGTTCCTTCAGCATCCTATAGTTTATATACTTTTTATGTGTTCCTAAAATCGATAATTCATAGAGTGCTCAGGTAATTTATGCATCTAAGGAAGTATCGCGATGAATGATTACCTTTATAACCCAAACTGCGCTTACATGAACCCGCCAATTCCTTGTTGCTGTTTTATGTTATTGCTGAGAGCTAATAAACGGAGAAGTGTCCACCCGGAATGACTGAACGATGATGTATTTTCCCTCTGTGTTTGATTGCTCTGGCAGCGAAAACATAACACGGATTCACCTTTGAAAGTCCTGTGCATTGGGAGTTGGCGAAGAATAATCTAAAATAACTGCTGTCAGTGACGCCCCAATCTGATGCGGATAACATGTATTGCTGCTGATTTCCTTTTATGACTCTGGCCTTTCGAAATATATATATTATTATTAACAACAGTTTACGATCGAGCGTACATATTTGCTTAAGCATGACTGCAAAAGCGTGTCGTGGAAAAGCAGGAAGAATTTGTTATGCAAAAGCAAGATAACCAGGTAGTCGTTCATGAACAATGTGCTTACGTATTGGCATCAGTGCGTGGTAAAAAATAACTGTGGCTTCCATCGTTTCAGAGCAACGCAATAACAGAGGAACAAGTATTTGGACAGCTTTACTGTCCCATGCGGAAATAAGCATCGTTCTAGCTTACACCCGTTCCACACAGATTTATTAGCTGCACAAAGTAGATAGCAAATTGCCGGATTATTCCTAACGCTACAACACCGGATACGCTTTCGGCATTTGGACGGAGTTGTCATAAAAATGCGTCAATTTCCAGTTCCCGTTGGATTTTTTACTGTCACTCACTCACTCGCGTGCATCTTGGTGTGCGCAGATGAAGCAGTTGTCTCAACATGTGGTAGTCACCCAGATGTAATATCCGGTGCGTCAGGATGGTGACGGGGATAATAATGATGATGATGATGAGGTTGATGACGACGGTCAAAATGATGATGACGATGATGATGATGATGATGATGATGATGACGATGATGACGATGATGATGACGAGGATGAGGATGATGATGATAATGCTGATGTTGATGACGATGATGATGGTGTTGATGATGATGATGATCCTGATACTGATACTGATTAGAAGCAACGGGTATAGCATACTCTGCGTAGCCGCATCATTGTCGCTCTTAGTCACTGACGTATTCATTATCGTTCCGCTCTCTATATTTTGTCTCTGCAAAGGGTTTGTCTAGAAGCTTCTTAAATTCGGCCACTGAGTTCGCCTCTATTACCGGCTGCGGCAGGTTGTTCCAGGTATTCACCACTCTACGTTCGAAACTGATTTGGTGAGCTACCCGCTTCAACTGCGGTACGATAAGTTTGCACCGGTGTCCTCGCGTGCTGCTTGGTGTGCGCAGATGAAGCAGTTGTCTCAACATAGGGTAATCACTAAGATGTAATATCCGGTGCGTCATGATTAGGTCAACCCTCAGCCGACGATATGCTAGGGTGTACAGCCCTAGTTTCTTACATCGGTCTTCATATGGCATACCTCGTAAGTTGGGAATCAGCCTGGTGGCTACATGCTGCACCCGCTCAAGCTTTTCTACCTCGCCCAGCGTGATGGGACAATATGCGGGAGAGCCGTACTCTAGCATTGGTCGTATTATCGAGACGAAGAGGCGAGTAGCAATATCTTCGGACCAATTGCTGAAGCTGCGCATGAGCGCCCAAAGCATACGAAGGTTGTTTTGGTACAGCCCATTTGTGTTGTCAATAGACTTTAGGTCACAGCGTGAGAGCACACCGAGGTCGCGCACGAAAGACGTGGGATGCAGCGGTTGACCAGCCACTGTGTACGTGCGGCTTTGCCCACATTTACCCAACCTCATGAATTTCGACTTAGCAGGGTTGATCGGAATGTTAACCTCTGCAGACCATGTCGAGAGGCTGTCGAGATCCTGCTGAAATAAATCACAATTATTGAGTGTGTGGATTACTCTCCACAAATTCAAGTCATCTGCGAACAACGCACATGGTGATTGGAGTAGTTGAGGCACATCGTTTACATGGATCAGAAACAATATCGGCCCCAGTAAAGTGCCTTGGGGTACGGCGCTGCTCGATGGATACCAGTTTGTTAGATGTTTGTCCACCTGGACTCTCCACTTCCGATCCACAAGGAAATTTCTGATCCATTTTGCAGCGAACCACCAACACCGTACATCCTCAGCCTGTCAAGAAGCACTGCATGTTTAACCTTGTCTAAAGCCTTACTGAAGTCAAAGTAAATGACAACGACCGATTGGCCTTTATTCGGCGCTTGTAACCACTCGTGCCTTGTCAACAGTAGGTTGGTGATGCATGAATGACCTTTCGTGAAACCATGCTGTGCGGAGGTCAGCAGGTTTTTCGACTCGAGAAGTTGCAAAAGGTTCTTCTTTACGATCTTCTCGAGCGTCTTTGCCAAAACTGCCGTCAGGCAGATCGGCCATTAGTTATCCACTTTGTTTGGGTTACCATCTTTCGGGATAGGCTTTACGACTGAGCAGTTCCAGTCGTCTGGTAACAGTCCAGTGGATAATGTCCTGTTAAACAGTTCAGTTTCAGAAGGCGCGATGATGGCCGGTAGGGGCTTGAGGATCAGTGGGTGTATACCATCTGGTCCAGCAGACTTCGTCCCGTCAAGATTTGCTAGAAGCTTGCGTACATCCTCAATATTGCAGTCCAGGCTGTTAAGTTCGGCTGGAGCGGCACTTGTCGAACTCGTTACAGACACCTGGTCACTTGCAAATACGAAGGCGAAATGCGTCGCTGATGCGGACGCACAATCTGTACTCGAGGTTAGGGGCTGTCCATCGGAGCCTTCTAACACTGGGACATTGGCTACAGGCCTCAGGCGCCGCTTCACATATGCGAAGATCCCCTTGGGAGCAGATTTTGTGGCGTTTGCAAGCTCCTCTTCGAAGCTTCTGTGATTTCTTTTTTTCGCTTCGTTGAAGCGATTCCGCTGAACCTTGTACACATTGTAGTCCTCATCAGAGCCAGATAACACGAACTGGTTCCAGAGTCTGCGTCGTCGTCGGGCCAGTTTGTTGTACTCTTTATCGGACCAATGTGGTTTGACTGGCCCAACTTTTCGAAATTTGAGTGGTACAAATCGGGCGCACAACAATTTCACTCCCTCTTTAATGATAGCCCAACAGGTTTCAATAGATGAATCCTGTGGTAGAGACCAGTCCGTCTGGCTCGCTGCTCGAATGAGGCCATTAAAGTCCACCTTCCAATAGTTGAAGGTTGGCTCCAGTGGGGGAGAATACGGCAGTTTTAATTCCAAGCTGCCTATGATCATCGAGTGGCCGATCGCTACCAGAGGCTCTAAGAGTTGAATGTTATGCACACGCTGCTCACAGCTAGTCAAAAGTAGGTCTAAGCATGATAGAGACGCGCGCAGTAATGCGTGTCGGTTGGTTGATGTGCTGTGTGGCCCCGGTTTCAAATAGCAACTCCGTAAACTTCCTCTCGGCTTCACAGTGGCCAGGGAGAAGTTCAGCTTCAGGCCACTGTATTCGGGGCAAGTTGAAATCACCCATGAGTAGGAACATCTGACGACTCATGTGGTCGCGGACATGCGGCAACCAGTCCAAACTGCGGCTCAGTGGACTGCGATATAATATGCCCACGAGCAACTCGCAGCGTCTGAGGTGAATCGAACACCATAACTGCTCACATAGACCATCAGCGCTTTGGTAGGCGCTCACTAGTCTCCCACACAAGGAAGACTTTATGTAAAGTAGGACCCCACCGCGATCATTTGATGATCCATCACAGCGGAAGCATGAGTAGCCGGTGATTTCCACTTCTTGGACGGTTACACGGAGTTTAACCATGTCTCAGCAAGGCCTAATACGCCTGGTCGCTGAGAGCTTAGAAAGTCGTACAGCACATCGCGCTTGTTCATCAGACTGCATACGTTAGTAAAGGCTACACGCAGACAGCGGTAGGAACCGCAGGGCGTGCTGAAGCATTAGAAATCTGTTGATGATGATGATGATGGATGATGATGATGATGATGATGATGATGATGATGATGAGATGCGGATGATGAGGATGAGGATGAAGATAAGGAGGAGGATGATGATGATGAGGATTATGATGATGAGGATGATGATGAGGATGATGAGGATGAGGATGAGGATGATGATGATGGTGATGATGATGATAGAGGTGGAGAAAGACGACCAGATATAGAAAGCCTGGACGTAAACCTCAATTGTTTTGTCTCATCACTGAAACGGCGCTAATCATTGTACTTAAGAGACTGATGCACGGTTTAAGAGATAGCCTGTCGGGGCCAGTTAGAATCTATGGCTCATTGTTAAAGCTGACCCAGTTTCAACATTTCCCAGTCGGAAGTGAGATTGCATGATGCGGTCCATTCACCGGACCTGCATCGCATGTTGATCCTGATTTTGAGTCAACACGTATAATTAGAGATAGACAGCATAGCGTTAGCTGAGGTGTGGAGGTGGACGATACATGGAAGCAAAATTTATGTTTGAAATTGTAACCTCTGAGATTAAACGTATGAGGTGGACGTTTCGTGTTCCAACCACGAAACAAGGCTGTGAGATAGATAGGAATCGATATGTTCAGCTGCAATGCCCAGCATATTAAAGTTGTATATATAGAAGGTAAAATCAAAACTTGCCTAGACACATAAGGAGGAAAATAAGTAATGAAATCACCTTGTTTGCCTGAGGAGAGAGTGGTAACAACATCATGCTAGTTGTTAATAAGGGTAGCCACGGTGAACTTCGGATGGCCTCCGCCTTCGACGCATGCTGATTGATTAGAATGTCTGTCGGTTGAGGTGAAACCGTTTTAGCTTGACCCTGGTCAAGTTGATATTGCAAGATCACCGTGGCCAAACCCAAGGGTAGTGGATGAAGCAGGTGAGCAGGTCGAAGTAGATCAAGCAGTTGATGCTGATCCAACACTTTCACAATGGCGTTCAGGTTGACTGGTTCAAGATCAATGACTGATGTAGAGCGACTCTCGGGAGACACTCTACACAACTCGCACTGAGCTGACAGTGATGGACCCAGCGTACTATTTGCGCACCACCGATTGTCAGTTGAATCCCGTCTTTCATTCGGCAGTTGTACCTCATCGGACTGGATCAATAATAACCACGGATTCAATCCTATCCCATCCTGTTGACCATAGTAGGCCGGCTTCAGTGGGGCTTCCGTCAGATTGGACACTAGATCAAGATAACCTAAAGTATAAAAAAGTAAACAAGCTTTGTATCCGCGAGACGTGGAAATAGTTAACAAGTTCAAGACGCCTACGACGGACAACGGATGTTTATCTCGGACTAATCGGCAATCATGACCGCGATCGAAAGTCAATATACACATCGTTGCACAACTGTTAAATAAAAACACTTGTAGATTTCCATCCAAAACAATTACAATTCGAAACCATGGCGATTTACGGTCCAGGCTAGTTTCAAAGATTACACACCATATCCGTCGTCAATTGTGTTGATAGTATTTAGATAGGGGAAGCACGGTTAGGATTACAACTGTCAACTTGATTCCTAACTTATGGTAATGTGCATCTGCAGGTTGTGAGAACCGAATGTAGGTATGGAGTTCTTGACCGTGTCAAACAGCATGAACTTGGTGCATTGATCCTGACCAAGGAAAGTTCCGCTCATCTACACATTTCCTGTTGGAGCTTTCACGGCGCACATTGCCACTGTGCCTAGTGGCTATGTGATGTGCAATGCTTATGGGTCCATTTTATGCGCGCATACGTCCATGGTTCCCAAGTTTTCTTTTCCTTTCAAGGTTATCATGGTTTGCAGTTAGTTCATAGCCGTTTGACTTCCTGACACTTTTATACTACTGAAAACTGGTGGAGTAACCTCTGCCTCCAATCCACCACAATTTGACTGCAGGTGCTAGCTTGCGCAACCGGTTACTTTAGCTGACGTTACTAGGACTATACAGTGTTAAGATCTCAAACGAGTAGTAGACTGGTGTGGAACACACCATAAAAAGTAGAGTTCGTCCAAGGGATGCAGTCCCGATGCTGGACTTAACATTAACGTTTGATGAAAGGCAGTGTAATGTGGGAAGTTAGAGGGTTAGGTTTTGATAAAAGTCATCTGTCCTCTTATATTTGCTGCACATGGACTGTTTGCAACCTGCAGAGGGTTGAAATGCTTGATCACTAAATAAAATGAGAATAACTTTGAAATAAGTTTACTAAATCCGCACAACTGCGACTCATCCAAAGGACAGACACTACCTGAATTGCTTACTATGATTATTTTGTTAGTAAACAATTTAGCTAGAGGTGGAAAAGACCTCAACTATTGTACCGCAATACAAAAGAAAATTTAAAAATACTTGCAACAGAGGCTCGCCAAATGAGGCACTAGTAACGGATGGGAATCGTTCTGTAGAGCTACAAAAAGGCTATTGAGAAACGGATGAACTGACATGGTCCGCTTGGAGAGACATGGGCTTGTCGATAGGGCAGGAGCGACCCTACGCGTTTGTATGTGAGTTGAAACTAGAAGATAAAGACCTATCAAAGTAAGGTGGGATAGGGCCAAGAATTGGTGAGTTGAGAAGGGGGGATAAAAGATAATTTGGAACGAGACGATAAGGGTAAAAGGCAAGTGGAATAAGAAGCCATTGGCTCGATACGCTGACCGCAAGGAAGTGGGTGTGGCAGCGGACTACAAAGAGTCCGTTTTAAGGAATAAGGAGCCACCCTCATAACAACGCACAACCTGGAGGACAAGGAGGCTAAGTTTGTGTGGCCTCTAATCATTGACCAATCTGGCATGAGCGACTCTGAATATGCGAAAAGCAACGCCCAGCACAACTCAATGGATCGATGAAGCAGGCATACCATCGTAGCACGGTAAGACACAGCTTCAATGTGATCGGTACCAAGCACAACAAACACTTCGCCCTCGTTTGAATAATGCAGGTAGGTGTAGAAGGAAGTTGGATCAGAACGGTGAACATCGAGATAGTTTGTGGATAACGCAACCCAATTTGAAACCGGCCGCACACGGCATTGTCCCTAATTGTTTTGCCTGAAATTATATCAAGATCCTGAAGGCGACTGAGTGCTACACTAATAATATAAAGCAACGGCTTTTAGCTGAAGCATAGAAAATTGCATTTAAACAAGCACCGCAATGATGGGGCATCATCACAAGATTTTAAGCTGTATCAACAACCCATGACATGCACTCAATTCACAACTACTTCATAAGTCAACAAAGTGGGGAAATGCAACACAAGACTAACAAGTTTCTCATGATCTGGAAAGCAGTTTAACGTTTTGCAATGAAGGTAGATGATACCTGAACGGATATACGGTCTAGCAGCCGTATTATCTGCTAACTGTTACCTAGTTGGCATAGCTCCGCCTGGCTCACCTCAGGTTTACAATCAGCATGCGGTGACTCAGCTTGAGCCGGAGAGAAAAACGAGCAATCCATAAGGCCAGGGAAGCACTTCAGCTCTCTATTTGCTGCGGCAGTTACCGCACAAATTCATACTGACAGTAACTGAGATTCCCTCAGGACACCATCACTGGGCGACAACTCATGTGCCTTGCCAACTTCCCCCTTGCTGTATAGTTTATGCTATTATATTGAGCCATACTAATGAACATGTAGAAGGCTTGCTTCGATTGAGTAAGTGAAAGAACTCTTGCGAACGGCCAATCTCCTCGTTCGGATCTCAGTGGAGTCGGTGCTAGGTTGCCGGTATTCGTTTCCAGTTTTTGCTCGCGTGTATATATGACCGCTAGATCTCGTTAGCCCGCATTGTTACGAATACGATTGGATATTCTACTATCTGTGAAGAACGTTCGAGCGGTTCCGACTAATAGTGGAAACAACTCGGAAGCGTTATAACACTAACAAAGATGGGTTAACAGTCAGCAACCAAGTTGTGTGTATATGGGTGTAACGTCTCATCTTGAGAGTTTCGTCAGCTCTATCCACACCAGCCACCACGGTATCCATTATGTTAATCCCAGGTGCTTGGATTTCATGTCAGCCGGTTTTGTTCGCAACACCTGTGGATCGACCATGTCAAGGTAATCGATATCCGTGTCTAATAGATGGTCCACAGTTGCTTCGACACTGGTTGCGTCGTTATGACTTCTAAAAGGTAGAGCGATTAAATGCCACTATCTAGCCGTATCGTGTTGTACACACACAAAACGGGTATTTAGAGAGACGCGGTTGCAAAGTGATAACTTTTCGGCAACACATATTAGGCAAATAATTTTATAAGAAAATCTGGGGTAAACACACGCTAATGAAAGCTGAAGAGAACGCGGAAGCGTGTCTGAACTGACTCAATTTATTTGAAAGGAAACTAAATTGATCGGCACAGGTAAAGGGAGCTTATGTTTTCGATGACAACGGACCCTAATATGACCCTACTTGATAGACCTCGCTAACCTGTAGGGTCGGTCGAGAAGGGAAGCCACCCTGGGTTATAATCAATGTTCTATAAGGATAGATCCTCATCCCGGCAACGGCGACGTGACAATTTGCAATAGCATCGTATGCTTGCAAAGCTCTGGTTGCGTCAACTTGATCGCTATTGATTCGGCTATCTTAAGGACGCGTCTTCTAAGAACTTCAGGATATTGTTTTGGCACTGTTTAGAAAAGGTTGAAAGCATTAGCAACCAGAGTTTCGTGTCCACTTGGAATAAGATGTTCAAGGATGGAGCTGCTGATACTTCCGATAGTGCCTTTTCGTAGAGACCCAGAACAGAGCTGAGCTATCCCTGTCGACAGATGTCTGGTCGTATGTACAAGCTACTTAACACCATAGAGAAAATCTGATGACTCTACAAAATTGACAAAGGGCACCGGAAACCACTTAACTTGACGTACTCGGTGGAAAAGATAGCACACACAAAATATTTCATGGGTGAATAAACGTATGCTTGTAATATTTCATCAATGCTATGTCGCACATAGCTGCTGCTATGGGAATTGTTGACTTTAGTTGAACCATGTCCGAAGAAACATCCTTAAATCGCATGGCCATGAAAGATGATTCGCGCTACATCGCATTACGATTTCCCGCCAGTACAGGTGGTCAAGCCGACTAAGCTGCTGGCTAGTGCCGCAAGCCGCTGGTATCCGGAGGTCTTAAACTGGGTTCTTGTTGGAGTCGGGAGATGTGCATAACTGAAGGGTGCTAATAGCGTTAAAGGTTGTTTCACTGCATTTCTGGATGCGTGGCAGTCCACCTTATTTGAAGGCTGCTACGATAAACACCTAATACTACTTCAATCTCCCATCATAATATCAATAAAAGTGAGTGGGTGACCGCAGGATCTTTGGTGAGTTTTGAAGATTGTTGAAATGCAAAGCGCTCGTACGGTTTCCGAAATGGTGTAGCTAGATGAATTTGCTGCTCAGATGTGAACGACGCGTATCAACAATCTTGTTAGACAGCATACACCGTCGTCATGACTAAATAAGGACTCGCGGTAACCCTCTAGTAACTGCCATGTTGAAATTCACTCAAAATCCCGAACCGAGCATCCAGTGAGCAGCGAGATATGCATAGTTGAAATTATTGATACCGCGGTCCATTCGAAGTGCTCGTTATGTGAATGTATTGCGACGCACAATCTGAATGTAGACCGCGACTGACACTGTGGTGAACCTTGGTCAATGCGATCACTGGGACAATAGCCTAAGCAGATGGAAAGTGGGTATCACCCAGGCAGGTAACATACAATTTCCATACATGGAACCCGGTTGAGTGACACCAACCACAGAAACTATGGTACTTGTTCCGCAGAACAAGACTTGTGGTGTAAACTCTGCCAACGACTCATTCAGATAGTTCGATTGACGAAATTCGGCCTGGATAGCACGAGTACAGGTAGTTGGGAATCGGGCACGCATTTCATCCCAATTTGTGAAACTAGGAAACTTGTTCCTCCCTCTCTCCACAGGACCAAGTAACGGAAAGAAGTTTTCCACTAATAGCAAGAGTTCCGCCTTCAAGAAAGTGATCAGTTTTATCAGTAGCATCAACTGCAGGGAACCAGTAATGTAAACTGCTTCTATGGCATACAACCATGAGAAGAAATAGAAAGATGGGAACTAGTAAAACTTTAAATGGCCTAAGTACACCTCCTTGGTTGTGTTGCATATACTCCGTGAACAACACACGCGAACAAACAGGTAGCTCTCGTACGAAGG